GAAATATTTGAGTGCGAATCATCTCCTTGACGGGAATCTCTCCCAAACTTCAAAGTTAATTCGAAAACTTTAGATTGATTTCTTAGGTCAGAATACATCTGACTTAACATTAATCCCACAACTCTTGTGCTGTAGTATAGCCACATGTACATAGAGCTTATATCCTCCTCCATTTGGAATTTGACCAAACCATGTTCATAACCATGGAGTTTTCAGCGTCCCAAACGTCGAACAGCGGCATCATTAACAAAGCAGGAGCCTTCTTGTCACCAGTGATGTAAACCGATCTTTCCTTTGCCCACGGATATACAATCCGGACAGATTGTGACCAGCGGGGAAAATTATCACCATTTAGCAGATGGTTGGTTGATTTGGGACAGAGTGAGAGTTGGACCGTTTTCACCGGCAATGGCAGCGGCAGGGGTTGAAGTGGTTCGGACGTGACTTCCGACATGCTATGACGGTTTAGGCAACGTGTTTTTGTTGCTTTACCAACTTTATGAAATATGAGGAAGAAGAAATCCGAAAATATGAGGAAGAAGGAACAGTATTTCTGTATATTCAAAACTTCTTATCTTACAAGACCAAATGACACTCCTTATATAGGAGATATTACAAACATCATTATAACCCATTATATGCCACTTACATATTATATATTACCACTATCTACCAATATCATATTATATACATGCCACTATCTGCCACCAACACCACTATCATATTCTATACATGCCACTATCTGCCACCAACACCACTATCATATTATATACATGCCACTATCTTATTATATACACAAATTTCCAGCAAAAGCAAATGGATGAGATCTTACAGAAGATACCCATAGGAGAGAACCTGATTATAGGTGGAGATTTTAGTGGCCATGTAGGCATAGATAAACTAGGCTATGAAAGAGTGCATGGTGGATACGGTTTTGGTGACAGAAATGACGCTGCAGAAAGTATCTTAGATTTTGCATTGGCTTTTGACCTGGTGGTGGCCAATACTATGTATAAGAAAAGGGAGGAGCATTTGATAACCTTTAAGAGTGGGTCAATTAAGAGCCAAATAGATTATTTCTTAGTGAGAAAAGTAGACCACCTAAAATGCAATGATTGTAAGGTGATTCCTGGAGAGAGCCTGGCCTCTCAGCACAGGATTTTGGTACTAGATTTATGTTTTAGAGGGCAATACCAAACTAGGAAGAACGGTGGGCGTCGTAGGACGAGATGGTGGAACCTAAACGGGGATAAACTAGAAATATTTATGAATAGAATGGATAATGAAAGCACTTGAGACTTGCAAGATGATGCTAACACTATGTAGAACTCGTTAGCCAATTGTATGAGGAGAATCTCAAGGGAAGAGCTTGGAGAATCGAAAGGGACGGGACCCAGCTCTCGGGAAACTTAGTGGTGGAGGGAAAAGGTTCAAGTGGTAGTTAAGGCAAAAAAAGAGTGCTTTAAAAAGTGACAGAAAGATAGAACTGAGGAAAACCTTAGGAGCTATAGATTGGCTAATAAAGAGATCAAAAAAGTAGCGAGAGAGGCTAAGTTGAAAGCTTATGATGACCTATATACTAGACTAGATAGTAAGGAGGGAGAGAAGAGAGTATACAAACTTGCTAAGATACGAGAAAGAAAAACAAGAGCTTTTAATCAAGTTAAGTGCATCAAGAGTGAGAATTCTAAAGTATTGGTGAAGAATGAAGAGATTAAGAAAAGATGGAAGAACTATTTTGAGAAACTATTAAATGAAGAACATGGAAGTACGGCAATAGGGAAAGAAATAGCCAATAATATGATAAACCAAGACTATAAGTTCTATCGCATGATCAATAACTTTGAAGTGGAGATTACACTTAAGAAGATTAAATCAAATAAGACTTTAGGACCCGATGATATCCCTATTGAAGCTTGGAAGTGTTTGGGTAAAAAAAAGGTTGCTTGGTTAACTAGGTTGTTTAGCAAAATTTTGTTGACTAGAAACATGCCAGATGAGTGGAGGAGAGTATTTTAGTGCCAATTTATAAGAATAAAGGAGATATCCAAAAATGCAACAACTATAGAGGAATCAAGCTAATGTATCATATAATGAAAGTGTGGGAGAGGGTGATGGAACGCCGATTGCGAGATAAAACAGAGGTGTCAGAGAATCAATTTGGGTTTATGCCTGGCAGGTCAACAATGCAAGCTATTTATCTTTTAAGGAGAGTAATAGAAAAATATAGAGAAAAGAAAAGAAAAGAAACATTCATGTGGTGTTTATCAACCTTCAGAAAGCATATGATAGAATGCCCCGGAATATAATATGGTGGGTGTTAGAGAAGAAATGGGTGACAAAATGTTACATTGATGTGATTAGGGACATGTACGAAGGGGTAGTAATCACTATTAGATCGCCTACTGTAGAGACAAATGAATTTCCTATCACTGTAGGGTTACACCAAGGATCTACCTTAAGTCCTTATCTTTTTACTTTAGTTATGAATGAGTTGACGAGAAATATTCATGATAACGTGCTATAGTGTATGCTTTTTGTAGACGATATTGTGTTAGTGGATGAGACTAAGAAGAAGTTAACACAAAGTCGGAGATTTTGAGAAAAACTCTTGAATCTAAAGGATTTCGAATAAACAGAACTAAAACAGAGTACATGGAGTGTAAATTTAGTAACAGTAACAATGAAAACAGAAGAGAAATGAAGATTGAGAACCAAGAATTGCTTAAGAGTGAACATTTTCGTTATTTAAGGTTAACTGTCACAACAGAGGGGGAGATTGATGTGGATGTGGCCCATAGGATTAAGGCGGGATGGTGTAAGTGGAGAAGTACATCTGGGGTATTGTGCGATAAATGAATACCCACTAGACTAAAATGTAAGTTCTATAGAACGACTATTAGACCAGTGATGTTATATGGGACGGAGTGTTGGACAACCAAGAAACAACATGTAGATAAGATGAATGTGGCTGAGATGAGGATGCTAAGGTAGATGTGTGGCAAAACTAGACAAGACAGAATTAGCATTGAGTGTATTTGAGAATGAGTAAGAGTAGCACCGATAGAAGATAAGTTGAGAGAGAATCGATTGAGATGGTTTGGTCACATTCAATAGAGACCAACAGAGACAATAATGAAGAGATGCGATGCTGTAACGGTAGACGAGAGTGTTAGGAGACAGGGTAGGCCTAGATTAACGTTAGTTAGCGTTGTAAATAGAGATATAGATTTACTTAATTTGATTAACGAAATGGCCTTTGATAGGGCCGCGTGGAGAAGAAGAATTCATGTAACCGACCTCATTTGATGGGACTTAAGACTTGGTTTGGTTTGGTTTGGTTAGCTTGGTTCTTTGATAAGAAGAACATAGTGAATTAAAGTAATATAATTTGCCAAATGGACTTATTCTTATTGTATCATGCACGTCTCTTATAACTACATAGAAAGTAAGAATTATAAAGTAAAATTAAATTAAATATCGTTGTTCTACTATTGTAATATAAACATATTAGGCTTGATATTAAAATGAAATATTTGTAAGACCTAAAAAAAATTAAAAGAAGTAAACTAGTCACTGACTTAAATTAATACCAAATTCTTAAATATTAGTTTTTTGCATTATAAAATTATAGTATAGTTTCTTAACATTCTTGAGCTCAAATGCAACTGACTAGTAATATTTTTTTTTTAAATATTTTTTTATAATGTATTCTAGCCATACCCGTATCCTATTTTTTTAGATTTTGCCGTATCGCCATATCTGTATCGTATCATATCCATGCTTCCTAGCATATCATATAGTTATTAAAAATATCGGATATTTTTTAATTAATTTTTTATTAATTTTGAAGTATCGAATACTTAATTTGATGTATCAGATACTCCAAATCACATATTTTACAAAATTAGAATTGTATCATTTCTTGCATAGCATTATAATAATTGTGAGGATGAATACAAAAATATTTTTTTCAATACTTTGCTTAGTGCTTTGACAAGAACACAACGAATTAAAGTAATAGAATCCGTCAAATAGACATATAGACTTATTGTATCATGCATATCTTCTTCTTCTTTTTTTCGATATATCTTATCGTGTCATGCATATCCTCTATAACTACATAGAAAGTAAGAATAACAAGAGAATATAATAATTGTAAATGTAAATATTAATAAATAAACAAATAAACTTACATACAATATTTTTTACTAGTGCAAAAGGGAAAAACATATGGAGAAGTTGTGAATTGTTTTAATATTGTAATATAAACATAGTAGACTTGATATTAAAATGAAATATTTGCAAAACATATTAAAAATTAAATTAAACTAGGTATTGGCTCAAAATAATTCCTAATTCTCATAGATTAGTATTTTACATTATGAAATTACAGTGTGATTTCTCAACATTCTTGAGCTTATGTGTAACTTACTGCTAATAATTTTTAAAAAAATATTTTTTTACAAATGTATCCTAGCCGTACACGTATCTTATTTTTTTAGGTTTTGTCGTATTGTCGTATCTCTATTGTATCATATACGTATCTTGTATCCGTATTCATGCTTCCCAAGTTAAATGTCAATTAAATAATGGTGGGGCTGTATCCAGAGTGTTCTTTCACAAGAGTGGGCCCCACCATGCGGAAGGAAAGGTTGTAGACGTAGTCCCTAAAATAATTAGTGCCAATACTTTCCAATGGTTTGAATCGTTTGATAGACATTATCATTGCTTCTGATCCATGCTACTTTGTAAGTCTATTATTAGTTTCGAACCATCGAATGGTTCACATCCATTCAAATTTTACAACTAGAATGCCAGAATTTCTTCAAATTAAAATCAAACATATTTTATGCTTTCAAAGAATCATTCAACAGGAGTAAAAATAAGGGCTAGTTTAGAACTTAAATTATGTATAAACATCCAATTCAAAGGGTTATAAAGGTAGAATGTTTCAACAAATTTTTAAGCATTTTCATGAAAATGCACTGGTAACAAACCTTTTAGGGCTCTGCTCTTTCATTATGTCTGATGCTATCTCAGAAACATATTCCTCCCAATCCATTGGAGGTATGGCTTGGTTACTTGTAAAAGGATACCTATAGCCACATTAACATTGTTAGAGAAGAGCACAGATATCAGGAACAATTTATGTGACCGAAATTACCTCAAACTAGAGAGAAGAATAAGAAGCCATAAATTTGATGAAACTACTAGACATCAATCAGAGTTATAATGGAGCTTAACTGTTGAACACGGCAAGTCTCAAACGCCAAAATAGCTCTCCTTAAACTCCGATTTGACTTTTCTGCTATACGGGCAGCAAATCCAGTTGGAACTTGCAGCCCTTCTTTCTTGCCAACAAACTCCAACACTTTTACAATCTGGCATGAATAATTTCCGGATAATTACTTGGATGGGGCATGAAAGAAAATGATATAGAATCACAATTAGCAGTTAAAACCCCTAAAGATGGTGCTTTGAAAGAATTTTGTTTTGCGTCTATGATTGATACATGCATACACTGCCCTGATATTTTTTTTTTTGGAATTTTAGCACTACCCTTAAGCAATGCAGTGGCAGCTTTCATGAGGAAAGAACAAGAAGTGTCAAAGTGTATCTGACAAATGTTATATGATAATCTATTAATGCTTCTTTTTTTTTTTTGGTTATGTATGGTGCTTTCATCTATACTAAGCTGATCAAGAGACAATCACTACTCAATTTATATAGATTTACAAACCTGTTCCTCTGTTGGTGCATTTATCCGCACATTCAGACAACGAGAACGGACTGCTTCAGTAACCTTTGAAGAACTATTACAACACAGAATCAGCCTGCATGAAGAACTGTATTTCTCCATTGTTCGTCGAAGAGAATGTTGAGCTTCTCTCGAGAGTTTATCAACCTCATTCAGCACCAATACTAAATAGCAGAGCACAACATATCATTAGCACAGAAAAGTTACGCGCATGCACAATAGCACATGCTCTAAAATGCGAAATGATAGGGACAGAAGCGTATAGATTACACTATCATAATTTAGAGTACTTCTAGAGTAATTTTCTTCCAACAATTTGACATTCAAATAAAATTTAAGTTTTTGTTTTTTTCTTTTCAAATTAATTATATAATAACAACACATTTCTATGAACATTATGACCATTTTTTATGTTTTTATACTGCCAAAACTGCACTCTCCTCAGATTTTAGTCTATTATATTTTATTTTTTTCATTTTAAGGAAATATATTGGGAAAAAAAATTTGGGATCACTTTGGATCGCTTAAATTTACCATTTTGGGCACAAAAGTATACCATGTTTTGGAACATGCATTCCAAAACATAAATCACTACGTATTAGTATTTCTGATAACACTGATCTGTCCATATACTGATACCAATTAGATGAGTACAAAAACAAGAGCACACGACATAAGTTAGATGTAAAGAGCAATTGACAGAGTTACCTTTGAACCCTTTCTTCCCTTTCGTGTCTATTGGTCTGTTCTTTGCCATTTCTTTAATTATCTCTTGAACAATATATCTATCCTGAAACCCTGCATCACTGGGATTGAGTTCCACATGGTATGTGCTTGCTAATGTTGTAAGCTCTAAATCAATAGTTCTACTTCCAGCCTGAAAAGGAATTATAAAAGACAGCCATCAAGACGAACCCAAGTACTTGAGACAAGACTTTGTCAAGATGACTTGAGCCAATGAAGACGACAATAATATCAAACAGTCCAAGAATCCAGATACTGCTAATGCTAGATACAAGAAGAATCAAGACAATTGCGGTAACAGTTTTATTTTTTTCCCATACATAAACTTGATTAAAATGATGCACCAAAAAAACCTCTGAAGCATCTGGGTCCAAAAAAAGGGGTGGAAAAAAGTAACATTTGGTGTTCAAGTAACTCTACTCATATAAGAAATGATGGTAGCCTATTAATTAAAACATGAAAGCTTGTCATTCTTTTAATGACCCGTTTGGTTGCCAAGGAAATGCGGGTGAAGAAAATCAATTGGACTAATGGATCGTCAAAGAAAATATAGGCCTTCAGCCAACCAACCCTACTACAACAGTTAATGTTGGCAACAATTCAATAAAATGCAGAACAAACAATATTAACCAAAAGATACAATGTCATTATTTTTTCTTCCTTTCCTCATTTTCCTCAGACACCACATAAAAACAAAAGAAGGGGAAAATTAGATTTTTCAATTAACGTACATGCAAACACCCTATATTAAAAAAATTTAGACCTACAAATCCTAACAAAGAAGACTTCTTTTTGTTTTTTTCCCCTTAAACGGTCTCCAACTCTTACTCTTTTCTTTTATCAAATTTAAATTCGATGAAAAAAGTCCAATTTTGGCGCTCCAATGTTAACATCAAACCAGTGTCAAATTGAGGATGTCTTAAACTTTTCCTCAAATTGAGGATGTCAGGAGCACCAGCCAACCGGCTGGTTGTCCACTTCCTTGCAATTTACTGTAGAAAGTCTGTTTCAGAATTTGGGCAATTTACACTGGCTGGCCAACCAGCCGGATATCGCCGGTGGACCAATGCTTTGATGAAAATTCAAAATTCTCCATTGGAACACTCGATATCTTTTACTCAAAAAAAAAAAAAAAAAAAATTAGACACATGTACACAAAACGAAAAAAAAACTTACATCGACTTTCCAGGTCTTATTCTCTACCTTAACCTGCACATAATGCAGTCAATAAAATTAATAAAAATAATATAAATATTCACAAAATTCCAAATTGATGATAAAATACAGAGAACAATAATAAACAAAAAACAATGAAGGACCTTCTCGGCACCGGGTCCGAACATCTGTCTGAGTAGGGCCATGATTAGGGTTTTCTTGCCTGAACCAGGAGGACCATAGAACAACAAATGGGGACAATCTTGCTCTGCTACCTACAAAAGAACAATTCAACTGAAATCAAAACCGATATCCAAAAAAATTTAGCAACAAATCACCATATACATATACATGACAAAAGGGTAAGAAGAAAAAAGTGTACCAATTTCTTGAGATTTTGGGCAACATCTTCGTGTACCAAGACCTTGTCTAGGGTTTTTGGGCGGTACTTGTCGACCCACAACATCTTGAAGCTTTGCAGAGGAGAGAGAGAGAGAGAGAGAGAGAGAGGAGAGTGAGAAAGTGGCGGGAAAGTAGCAGAGCGATGAGAGAGAGTGAGGACTGGTGGTTATTATGTAGGGAGAAAGGCTGGAGGGTGAGAGGCTAAAAGTTAAATTGCAGTATGCTACCTTGATTTTTTTGCGAAAATAACACTAGGTGCTTGATAATAGGGGTTTTTTTTTTTTTTAAATAAATTTTTTATGAAAAAAAGTGTAAAAAATTAGGTAAATTATCAATAGATCTATAGTTAAATTTAAGGGAATTTTTTTTAAAGGTCCTTAGTATTAAGTATTAAGATTTTATAGTATAAAGAATACTCGATATTTTCATAATATCTAAGGTCCCTCAACATCAATCCAGAGAAAATTCGATCCAGAGAAATTCGTTCTAGAGAATTTCTCTGGACAAATCACAGAGAAAATTTCAAATTTCTCTGGACACATCATAGAAAAAATTCCAAATTTTTCTAGATAACAATGAGGTTTAATACTCTGCTTTAGAGAAAATTGGATTGGTCCAGAGAAATTCTCTGGTCTAGAGAAATTCTTTGGTTTTGAACTGGACTAGTGCTCTGCTTCAGAGAAAATTGGGTTGGTCCAGAGAAATTCTTTGGTTTTGGACTAGACTAGTGCTCTGCTTCAGAGAAAATTGGGTTAGTCCAGAAAAATTCTCTGGTTTGGATTCAATTTTATTTGGGTTGAACTCAATTTTCTCTGGGTAGTAGTTTTGGTCATATTGATCGTTTTTTAGTTCTCAAATTATAATCAGGACACTTCATAATAAAGTGTAGCATATTAAGTAGGGGTTAAATATGATGATAGTGTTATTCATCGAACTTCCTATAATTGCTTAGTGGGATCTTTATGAAGTTAAATGGAGTAGGAAAAAACTAAAATACCGATTAGTTGTTACATTGAGAAATGGAATATAATTAGTGGGTGAAAAATGAATACTTTCATATGATGTCAAACCTTTCTCACTTTATTATCTGCATTGTCAAAGTTGTATATGAACACATGTACAGACATTGTAATTAGAAATAATGCATTGCTATAAGGTTGAAGTTGTATCAGATGAGGGAATGAGTTTTTATTTATTTATTTGTGATGAGCAATATTCTAATTAAAGCCCAGGATATGAGGGGAAGGGAAAGAAGAGCAGAAATTATATCTTTTATCTTTTAGATTCAAATCTAACAGTTCACACCTTTAAAATTCTATGCCATCATTAATTGCCATTGTGTTATGATGGTAGTGGTGTAAATTATGCATAGCTAACCATGGTAATAAGTAGATAGATGTATGTCATGTGTGCACAAATATACTTGTTTGTGATACTTACAGTAAATGAATTAAAAATTTTATTTTAGTCTTGGTAACTAAATTTTGGGAAGAAATGTAGTAACTTGAACATGGAATGTGGAATCACACTTCATTATGCACTTTTTTTTCTCCATACCAGGTGGCCGCAGACTGCTGTTCCTAAATTCAAAATTATCACTTTCGAATGTTTGCAAAAGGTCCGAATTGGTGAATATATATTATTAGTGAGGTATGTTATACTTTATAATATGTTGCTTATCTAGAGAAAATTAGTTCCAGAGAATTTCTCTAGACAAATCACAGAGAAAATTCCAAATTTCTCTAGACAACAATAAGGACTAGTGTTTTGCTTCAAAGAAAATTGGATTGGTCCAGAGAAATTCTCTAGTTTGGACTGAATTTTCTCTTGGTTGAACTCAATTTTCTCTAGGTTGGTCCAGAGAAATTCTTTGGTTTTGGAATGGACTAGTGCTCTGCTTTAGAGAAAATGGGGTTAGTCCAGATAAATTCTCTGGTTTGGATTGAATTTTCTCTATGTTGAACTCAATTTTCTTTGGGTTGGTTCAGAGAAATTTTCTAGTTTGGTCTAGAGAAATTCTCTGATTTAGATTGAAATTTATCTGGATTAATTTGAGGAACCTTAGACATTCTCTCATTGGCATTTCATCAAACACCTTCTTTGCTAAATCCATGTCCCCAACTCTGTGCATATTTTGCATATTTTCAAAACAAGCTCGTACAGAATCAGAATAAAGTATTTTCTTTGATGAAATATGATCATTTGTTCAAATTTGGAAAATAATATAACAAAATTATTTTGAGGGACCAAAAAGATTGTGAGATTTGGAATTATTCATAAAGTGGTAAGCAAGCCCAAATCCTAGCTGGTTCTCGCTCCTCTTCGCGCTTTTCTTCTCTCACTATCGCTGTTGTCTCCTTTCTTCCTCATCCTCTTCCTTTGATGGCACCGGGAAAGAAGGTGAGAACAGTTTCAGATACTATCGCAAAGTTTGGTTCTTTCATTTATGTGGTCTCTATTCTGGATTTGTTTGTATATTTTGCTGAAGATCAGAAAGAGAGAAAGAGAGAGAGTCAAATTTCACTGATCTGATATATGGGTGTGTGTTTAAGGACCTTAGACATCAAAAAATAATATTGTGGACCTTTTCTATTACTAAAAATGGGAGAGGGACCTTAGACTAATTTTTCCTAAATTTAATTTTTATCAAATCCTATTAAAAATAAATCTTAGTAAAATTGTTACTAAAAATAATTTTTGTAACCATTTTTTGTATATGTTGCTAAAAATTAACAGTAAGTAGCTTTTTGTCACAATTTTTATAAATTGTCGTTAAAACTTACAATTAGTGATGTTTTTCTGTGACAAGAATTTTAAACTATTGATGAAAGTTAAAAATTAGTAGCTTTTTTGTAACGATTCTTTTAAACTGACGTTAAAACTTATAATTAGTAATAGTTTTTGTGATAATTTTCAAACTACAGCTGAAAATTAATAATTAGTGACATTTTTTAATAGTATTTGATGAAAAAAAACATTAATTATTGTAGACCTTATTGAACTTATGGTCCACTTATTAGGACTTGCACGTAAATCTCCCCAAAAAATTAGAGAGAGGGAAAAGAGTCTTATATTTGCACCTTAAAAAGTAAGTTAGGCATTGTACGAGCATAGAATAATCTTCTCGTATAATCCTGTTGACCAAGTTTGCACTCCTCCAAACGTCGTCGCTTTACTACCTGAAAACACAAACGTGAGCTAGCCGACGGGGGTGTGACGGAAACCTCTCCGATGCCTAAGTCAGCGATTAGACAATAGACACAAAAAACTCTGTGTAATTGAGAGTAAGAATTGCAATACCTGTGCATAAGTCCCATCATGAGCTTTTATAGGTTATGCTTGACACAATCTTAATAAGACTCTAACTCTTCTTAGTAGAGTCCTCCTAAGAATTATACTCCCAAGGATAATGCCTATTCTGATAACACCTTACTCACTAAGCCAAGTGAGATGGCTTAGACCTTTTACCTCAGCTGATACTACATTCAACCGAGCTTCCTTGGCCCCATGCTACTCTGGGTAGAGTCGTGGTAATCATCACTGCAAGTGGGCCCAATGTCGAGCTATACTCATCTCGACCCTCTTACTTGTTATCACCTTGGTCTGCCTTGGGACTCAGCTCTAGATAGCGCGGTCAAGGCTCTGGAGACACTTCTAAGTGGCTTGGTGCCTGGATAGCCCAGGACCGGGCTATTGTAGCTCCTACCCCAGTCAATAGCTCGGCCCAAATGCTTAAGAATGGACTTAGATCGGCCCAATTTACTCACATAAATTACCCTCTCAAACACCATATTACTTTGAACGGCCCAATAATAAATTTAAAATTTTATTTATTTGTTTGAATACCCCAAATAATATCTACCATAATCCTAATAACCTTAAAACCTTGTACAAATCTCCTTTGTACACCTCATTACCTATAAACAGAGGAACAAAATTAAACCACATTTGGGGTCTCTGAAATTTCAATCGACGAAAAGAGATTCTAAGTTCATCCAAGACGAAGATCTTCCACTCAAGGAATCAAAATATATTTGTCTAGATATTTAATTCTAAACCTATGAAGTTTGTTTGGATACTCAGTGTTGAACGCAAGAAAATTGGTTCCAGTTGTTTCATATGGATACTTAGTGCCGAACAAAATATATTTTTCTAAATACTTAATTTCGAACTTATAAAGTTTGTTCGGATACTCAGTGTTGAACATAAGAAAATTGGTTTCAACTGTTTCGTATGGATACTTAGTACCGAACAAAATATATTTGTCTGAATACTTAATTCCGAACCTATGAAGTTTGTTCAAATACTCAGTTTTGAATCAATTCGGAAAATCAACCTACAAAAAACAATGAACAACAATTAAAAACTTACTTTCTCTATAGAAAATTGCTTGAAAACATCTTATTTATTGTCCATTGTTGATTTCAATATGAAATATAATGCAATAATGATGGATTAAAGTAAATAATGTTGGCTTAGGGTTGGGTATGAAGATGCAAAATAAAAGAGAAAAGAAAAAATGACGGGCTGATGATAAGTGGGGTGTTCAAAACACTTTTATGCACACTTTTTCCAAAGTCAAGTACTTTTTAGTCATTTTAAATAAGGACTAAATACTAATAAAAAATATCATTAAATTGGGTGCCCAACCTACTTTTTAGAGTACAAATAGGAGGAATGTGATTAGGTGTTTTAGCTTGTTGACTATTTTAACCCCAACCTAACTTGCCAAACGGGGCCTTCGAGGTAATAGCCATGTTTGGCAACTCCTCAGTTTGAATGACAGGAAATGAGGGATAGTGAACTGAATAGAAAAATTGAATAAATCGCAAACAAGATCAAACTGTATAATTTGATTTTATTTTTTAACGCACAGATCAATTTTGATTTTTAAAAATAGGTGAATCATACTTCATGATTATGTCTGTGATTCATAGTTATGGTTATGATTTGAAGTTGAACTGGACTATTTAAATATATATATGTAATTTGTTATTTGTTGAAAACATTCGAATATCATAAGTTAAAAGACCTTTTTTTCTTACATATGTGTTATTGAATAATAACAAAATTAGTTTTAAATAATTACTGTTTGTAAAAAGGTGACATATTGAACTCAGGAAAAAAATTGAATAAATCGCAAATAGGACCTAATTGTATAATTTGTTTAGATTTTTTTAATACACGATTCAATTTTGATTTTTAAAATAAG